TGTAGGTATGGTGCCGGTTGTTCCTCCCCAGGTGCATCACCTTGCACTTGTCTGTGTTGAAACCCATCCTATTCTCATCTGCCCACCCTTATAACCTGTCTAGGTCCGACTGTAGCCTGCTTCTTCCTTCTAGTGTGCCCACGTCCCCCCACATCTTAGTGTCATCAGCAAATTTGAACAGGGTGCTTTCTACCCCCTCGTCCAAATCACTGATGAAGATGTTGAACAGCGCGGGCCCGAGTACCGAGCCCTGCGGAACCCCACTGCCCACGTCCTTCCATCCACTACCACCCTCTGGGTGCGGCCCTCCTGCCAGTTGGCGACCCATTTGACTGTGTAGGTGTCTACGTCACAGCCTCCCATTTTCTTAATGAGAACGGGGTGAGAGACAGTGTCAAAAGCCTTCCGGAAGTCCAGGAAGACTATGTCCACTGCTACCCCTGTCTCCAGGGGTCAGGAGCTGTCTCCACCACTGCTGCTTGGCTAGGGCCAGAACCACCATATTCTCAGTGCCCTGGGCTGGAGCTAGACCCAAGACCACCAAATTGGGTAAAGAGTAGCTGGAGAAGGAAGCGTGGAAGTCAACAGGGGATGATGAGCAAGTGGCTGGTGCGGCAGACATCAGCAACTAGTGGTGGGGCAGGTGGATGGAGCAAGAAGTAAGGGATCAGACCACTTTCCTCTCTGCTACTGATTTCTGCACTGCTTGCCCCCTTGCTGCTGCTTTTCCCACCACAAAGGTGTCAGGGGGACAAACCTAAGATGATCCTACAATAATTAGATGCTGTATGATAAATGTGTTTAAAACTTAAAATTTTCCATGTATAGTATCTAATTACTGGGGCATCATCTTAAATTCAAAGTCGTCTTGGATTCAGGTAAATATGGTAGATGGAGGTTGTACCATTGGAGGACTGGGGTAGCAGAGCCAAATTCTGTTGTGCCCCACTCTTATTCCCATGAGTTTCCTATGTTTGTTGTAAACAGGCAGTAGTCATGGGATCCAGCTGCTACACGCCTGTGCCAGAAGGGATTTCACCTCTGACTAGTTAATCTTCCGTTTTACCCTTATTGACATGAGCAGCATGAAGAGGCATGATGGTCTTGGTAGTGGAGCCCAAACAACACATTAGAAGCATTGTTCCCAAGCAGTATATTACATGATTACAAGTAGAGCAGGAATCTGCTGTTGCATGTTGAAGTGATTAGAAAACATTGTCATTTCAGAAGTTTAAACTGCTTTAAAGAGACAAAAAAAAGACCACTTTTGATTATGCTTTTCCACACCAAGTTCTGCTTTCCAGTTACCACTCTCTATTCTGATGTGTGGGTCTCTTTCAGAACCTGATCCTTCTTGCATTTACACTGGTGTAACCACACCAACATCAAAGCACATTCCAAGCTAGAATATTAACAAGACTTGCTCAAACCAACACTTGCGTGTTCTCCAGCATAATGAATGGATTCAGTATCTTGGTTTCTGCAGTCATTTTCTAAGATTGTGCCTTCAGAGTTTTGAATGTGCCGTGTGTACAGGAGGGGTCTGTGCCAGCTCTAACTATGAAAATGCTATTTTTAATTTCTCATTCTTACGTTGTGTCTTATTATTCCTTTCTCTTATGTTGTCTCGTATTATTCCAACACTACATGAAGTTTCCCTTTGTTTTTGTAGGTAACACAAATGGACCAGAAGCTGAACCTCATCACAGATATGCTGCAGCATCTAGTTTCCAGTCAGCAGGGAGGCCAAGGCAGCAACAGATCATCTCAAAGAAGCAATGCTGTTAATCCAGATATCTTCCTCCCTAACAACACTCTCCCAACCTATGAACAACTGACAGTACCAAGAAGAGTCCAAGATGATATATCATGATATAGTTTTTCCCCTCACCCTGCCTCTTTTTCCCTTGTGGAACTGAAGGTTGTGAATCTGGAAGGTATTAAGCTCAGCAGCCATATGAAAGTATACATGACTACTGTACCGAGCTAACACACCTTAAAGCCTCTGTGGTGTGTTGTTTTAACATAGTACATTCTTAAGTTCCATTTTTATGTTATTCAAGAACAATAGAGTATGATTTATTGTTGCTCAGAAAGACCAAAACTACATATAACACAGGCAGAATGGCAAGGAATTTGTGTTTCCTTTTCAGAAAAGAAATAATAATACTTGAACTTAGTAATATGTACATTCTGTTTATGAATCTGCTGATAGCAATAGAGTTTGCTAGTTAGATTTTTCAAGATCGGGTAATTTATGTTGGGTTTCTTGTATAAACATATCGCTAACGTTCTAGAGAATGACAAACCACACACTGAATGATTTTCCTTTTTTCTGTTTCCATTTTAGGTTGTTACATAAACATTTATCTGATATTGACTAGATTTTTTTTTTAATCTGTTTTTCTTCAGGGAAGAACTAATGCTTAATCTGGGACAATATTATTTATAGAGGGAGGTGCTGTAGATTTCTTTTTGAGAAATGAATTTTTGTTAGGGACGAAAAATACTGAACAGACAAAAGGAATTATTTTGCTTTCTAGAAAATAGCTGCCAAAGAATTTATCAATAAATACCTAGCACTGTTATCTGAATGTGCTTGTCCAGAAAGTCTTGTAGAAAAGAAAGTTCACTGCTTTTATATTTTTCTAGATCTATTTTGTCCAGCTTTTTTTTCTTTAATCTTTAACAAAATGCATGCAAAAAGTCTAATGAAACTGGATCTTGTTGGTCAGATCACTGTACCTGCCAGTTTTTGATCCTTCACAGTTCTCATAGGAAGAGAGATGCCAACTTAGGACATCTTTTAAGTCTGTATGGGGACTTAACGTTAAGCATGGACTTAGGTGCTTTTCTGAACCAGGGTCTGAGGTCTCTTAGCTCATTGCCCAGTATCATAAAGGCTCTAGTCCTTATGTAAGGGACCAAGGGCCTGAGCTAAACCCATTGAAGTAAAAGATTTCCATTGATTTGCATGGCCTTTGGCTCAAGCCCCAGATCCTGCTCACTGTTCACGGGTACCCCTTCCTCAAGCCAGAGGGCCACATTCTGCCATCATTTACGCCATTGTAAATCTCAGGTAACTTCACAGAAGTTAACAGAGTTACACTATATTTCTGTTTGTAATAATAAGCAGAATTTGGCCTCACATGACTACTCTCACATACAAAAGTGAGCAGGATTTGGATTTAGAAGAAATAAGCTGCAATGCATCCCTGTGTAAAAAAGGCAGAAGCACAAGGCCTGTGCACAATTTGCACCCTACTTGAGGATTTCAATGGGAGTGGTGCAATTTGCTCTCTCCACACCAGCAAGGCATTTTATCCTGAATGTAAAGGAAAGGGAGTGATTGAATACTAGAGGTTGCCAAACAAATTCTTAGCCCAAATTACTAACCGGGTTAATTGCTGGTAAAGGAAGCCGGTGATGAGGGGAGTTCACTGACTTTGTTTCACTGCTTTAGTGATATATGTAAATAGCCAAGATCTGAATTTTTAGTTGGAAAGGAATTGGACTTCACAAATAATGCTACAAAATTGATACCCTCTATCCACATAATATTACATAGCAGCTCGCTTCACCACACTAACATATAACAGTAATCAGAAAAACTGGTGTGCATCAGACTGAGCTCACAGGGAATCTTTTCAGATTGTTGCTTATATTTACAGGTTTTGTTTTAAACATTTCACATATCTCAGTTGGACTTTAGAGAAAATCATACTGTATCTATTTTACAGACTGTGGTAAAATTATTCAATTTTGCTGCTGTATGGTAGTTAAATGTTAAGGGTGTCAAAATTTACAGATGTAAACAGGGATTATTTCTGGGCATTATGTTTCATAGAAATCAAAAATAATTCTGATGACTTTTAATCTGTTTTTAATGAGATTCACTTTGTAATTTCAGGTTAATAATCTGCCTGTTAATTTCCTAATAAAATATAGGACAAGAGTGCTATGTCTCTGTTTTCTTCTAACACCCACAGACTTGGTGAACAGCAGACAGATTTTCATTGACCTTTATTCTGGGCCTATCACCCTTCAGTATAAATACATAAATAAAGATGATTTTGCTACATACTGTCCTGCTGCCCACACCTTTGCCAGAGAGTTGAAAAACAGGATTTAACTAGTTAGGAAGACCTAAGCTAAAAAGTGTCTTGTAGCTCTTCTTAAAATCAGCTAGGCTCATGCTTACACTTATTTCCAGAAGCATTGTGCTGCTACCAAGAATCCTGCTGTTGGAACCTAATCTTTCCAAGACCACGTCTTCATTTTCTTACTGGCAGTTAAACCACAATAAACAATAAAATTGCACATTTTATGTCAGAGGAACCAAAAGCAGTTCACATGACACAGAAATTGCATGAAATTGTCCTCATCCATTTCAGAAACCACCACCATCACCAGAATCCTCAGAAGCTCTGTTCAGAAGGGATCTATCTGCAAATATCATCCTCTCTGTTTACTACATGTATGACTCTTAAACCAGATCTGGATCCAATTATTCCTTTCAAACACATGGTACCGGTTCCTAAGTCTTCTGGGCCTTCTCTGATTTGTCTGCTTCAGTCTGAGGTCTTAAACATGTTTCCAGGAGAGAAAACAATGCATGCCCTCAGGTAATCACCAATATTTAGAGCTTGAGGCATTCCTGAAAGATATGCCAGAAGAAAAACTAACATGTCTAATTTTCTTTAATACCATCTCTGTATCAAACCATTTCAAGTTTGTTATGCTACCAGAGACCTGTATAAAAGGGCTTATAACCAGGTCTAATAATGGATTAAAGTGCCTGGAATCCAGAACCTTGTGTCTGTGTCTTAGCTTCTCTGAATCAGCATTGAATCTTCAGATTTGGCCAAATTGAATCGGGGACAGTGATCTGCATCAACGAATTGAATCACTGTCCCTGATTCGGGCCAAATCCAAATCAAATAGGGCCCATTTCACACACCCCTACTACTGAATGGATAGGGGCCTATGTTGGAATGCTGGACACTGGGTCTTTATTCATCTCTAGGGTATTAATTTACTTTATAACCATAGAGCAAGTCATTTAAGCTCTTTATACACTGCTGCTTCCTACCCCTTCCCCATTGTTTTGTCTATTTAAATGACAAATGCTTTGGGGCAAGAAACTGTCTTCTCCTATGTGATTGTTCAGTTCCTAGGGTTATGGAGCTCTGATTTGGGGGCCTTTGGGACAGTAATCCAAATGATTGATAAGGCAAAAGGTATTTTATGGCCTCTATTATTGTGAGATTTGGAAGTTGTGGAGTTTGAAATGTTTGCAGACAGTGATAATTATATGATGCTGATTTTCACTTCCCTTTGGCACAGAATCATACAGAAGAACAGAAGTCTAGACATCACTCATTTTTACCTTAAACTTCTCCCATATTATAAAGGAAGGTCTGTTTCAGCTAATGTAATGGACAAATACAGTGCTCAAATGCTATCTGAAACAGAAATAAGTTGGTGTATTAACAGATTAAATTTTCAGCAAGTTAACACCTACTGTTAGCAGACACCTATATATTGATTTATCATCAGTTCGGAGGATGGTGAAGACATTCCAAATCCAATTTTTTTTCCATGAGGATAGAAAACTTTGGGCAAGAAATGAATTGCTTCTTGAGAAATAAAAAGGTAAAAGGAAATGAAGAAATGAAGAAAAGAATTGCTTCTTGAGAAATAAAAAGTAAAGATTATTTTCATGTGTCTGAAGGAACAAAACTGAAATAAGGTTTCAATTAATTTTTATAACAAACTGCTGGGGGGTGGATTAATACTACATCATTTTTCTTACTGGGGTGGCAAAGAGATTATGGGCCTGATGACTCTCTCATTTCTGCCTCCAGTACTACAGAGATTTACACACATGCTCATGCATAACATTAAATATATGGGTAAATCTTCACAGTCTCAAAATCTGTGTCAATGAGACTCTTTTAACAGTTGGATCTCATCCTAAATGACTTCCCCAAGACCACAGAGGGATTGTGAAGTCATGGGTTTCTGGCTCTTCTTCCAGTTTTCAAACCAATAGGTTGCACCACCCTTTTAGATCATCAGCATTCTTAAGCCATGGCAGTTAGAGGCAGGAAGATGTCTTTTGATCACATGAAACACTGTAAATATTGCCCCAGTCTGGACACAGCAAAATCTGGCAGTACAAAAGGGAGGCATAGTTAAAACTGCTTAAAATTTCATACACAATTATGTAGTTTTCCTCCAAATGTGAAAGGAGCTAGTATGTGCTGTGTGCTTGTGTACCTGCCTCAGAAGCATGTAGTGGAAGATGCTGGACTTAATGGGCCCCCGTTTTGATTCAGTGTGGGAATTCTTAGGTCCCTTTGAACAACAGCAAGCCAAAAGCTAACATGAGAGCAATGGGAGCGCTAGAAGCAAAATGGCTGTGCTAGCAAAAGAGAAAATGGAGACCCTGAATAGGCATGTTGTTGGATTTGTCCATGCACATTATTCTAATACAGTACGTTGTCCACTGAAAAGAGGCCTATGTTATGAGTGATGGATTGTTGCCAGAGAAGAACTGGCCCAAAAGAAACACCATTGTCCAAGGCAGGCAGAAAGCTCACATAACTCCCACGCCGACTGGCAACTAGAGCCTACAGGGGAAAAGCTTAGCAGCTTGACATGAAGCATTATGCTCTTTGCCTGGGGATTCTGAGCCTAGGAAGAACTGATACTTAGAGCTTGTCCTGAAATCATCTCAGGGAGCTCCATTTTCTTCAGCGCTAGCCTTGGTCTGGCAAACTGCCCAGGGATTTAGAATCAGTTAATCCAGCCTTGGCTCTCCATGGCAGGCACCCATGGAACAAAGAAAATAAAGCTTCCACAACTCTGTCAAGTTTCTGGTAAATCACTCAGCCAGGTGCAGAAGTGAGATCTGCCGTCTATAGCAGGCTTTGCTTGGAGCAATCTTGTAGGAGAGACTAGAGTCTTTACTAATTTCCTTGCCATCATTTACCATATTCATAAATATAACTAAGGCTCTTACACGGACAATTTCAGCTAGTTTTTAAAGCAAGTCGTGCTGAAATATTTTGTTGCAGTTTTCTATTTCTAATAGTTCATCAGGCCAATATGTGGCAACTTGAAAAGCTTCTGCTAGTCAGCAGGGCTTTTGTATACTAAATTCCTGGTTTAGCTTCCAAAAACAGAAATGTTAACAGCTATCTTTGGGTTTTGTCCTAAGTAAACATTCTCTCTCTCTCACTCACTCTCACTCTCTGTCTCCCTCCTGGGCATTACTACTTGCCATTTCTGTTAATTATAATGCAGAAATTCGTATTATGAAACATTCTCTTCTGACCCATTTCAGTATAGTAATTTAGTGGGACACAAATCAGCTTGTGTGTATATGTGTGTTTTGTTTTGTTTTGCTTTGCTTTTGTTTGCTTTGTTTTTGCACTTAAGAGGGAAATTAGATGTTGAGCGTCCTGTGAATGGGATTACAAAAGAAGCTGCTGAAAAAAAAAGACAATTTTCAGTCATGATTTCTGTTAAGTGTATATCAATAATTAAGTTGTAAAAAGTTTACAAATTAGTAATAGATGTTAAAAGTGTGAGAAGCATATGTTAGCAACGGCTGTGAATGCGTGAATAGAAAGTGATACGGGTATGTATGAACCAGGATTATAAACAAACTGGAGGCTTCTTTCGTAAGGTATTGATCAAACATGAACTGGGACATTTATTAATCATTTTAACCCAGTCTCCACTTGTAAACCTTATTCTACATATCCATTTTTGCTCAATTTGATCAGGACAAGTTATGTTAAGTTTAAATTGAGATATTCTGTCTAATTGAGATTTCTCTAGATAGTGCACTATACAGAAGGAAATGTGCAACTTATGTCAGGTACAATATTCGGTTAGGTGGATGAGGTTCTGTGTGACTGAACACAGCAGTTGTACATAGAACTATTACACACATAAAACAAAGTTTGCTTGGAAACCAAATAACCAAAGCTTCCTTCCCTGAAAAATGGAACTTGGCATTATGGCCAAGGACAGACATTCAAAAAGCCCAAGGCAGAATGGATCTAAGTTGCATGGTTTTCTGTAAGTGGTGTAGTTTACACCAGTAACAAACACAACACACATTCACCCTTTGCGGGGGGGTGCAAATCTTAGACTGGGTTATGCCATTTTTAAACCAGTCCGAACTTCTGTGTGCTGAACTTCTGTTCTCTTACGGGTATAGACAGTCACTTATACCAGTAAATATGTAATGCCTGTACCAGACCTGTATGACACACAAGGAGCGCGTCCACATGAGCATGCACGTGCCTCTTGCCCCTCCTCATACCCCTTTGAGGCGGAGCAACAGGCACATGCAGGAACAAAAAAATGTTCGCCGCACTGCAAACTTGCAGCACGGGGAGAAAATTAGACCCCTGGAAATCAATGTTTAAAAAAACAGGGCAGGACATGGGCCCTGACCATGCCCTGAGGCAACCGGAGGCCAGAGCATCTCTATGGTTGGCCCTTACCCTGCTGCTGAAACACACAGCCAGCCAGGCCGTATGTTTCAGCACCAGGGCTCTGGTGCCGATGAGGAAGGGGTCAGGGGGGCTGGGGGAGGGAGCCATGGGGGGACCCCTGATGACCCTGCACACT